TCTCCAGTTTTCATTTCTACAGTCCATTTGCTCTCCAAAACCACCAAGCTCGTCGAGGACAGATCCACAGCTTGATCCCTCCGAGCCCGTACATACTATTTATAAATAGTACATCTTATCAACTTAATGGATCGGGAATATTGTTAATTTTTTAATTCTTTTTCTATTTTTGATTGTGTTTAAATGTGTATGGTTTAGAAGTTTATAAATTTAATAAGTAAAAAAAAACAATAATTGTGAATTAGTATTACATAAACACTTATTATTGCTTACTTTGATCTCAATAAACGTTTATATTACATTTGTAAAATGACATTTTCATTGACTGTACGGAGGTTGTACGAATAATAGGAATTCGTATATTCCACTATGTAGGAATGTACGAATACGCTGTGTACGAATCTACCGCACGCGTGGGGTAGTTTCGTACGTTTTCCACGTTTTAGTAAAGTAACCGTAGCTTCACCATGATGAATAGTATGAAGGTAACACTACACTATTTTTAAAGCGAGATAAATATGGCACTTATGCACATTAAAAGTGTTTTAAAATAGTTAGGTAATAGTATTTCGTATAAACGGCTTAGAATAAAAATTGTACGAATCCTACCTGCTTTCCCTAATATATTCAAAATTAACTCGCGTACTTACGAATCAGACCCTGATGACCTGCTTGTATACATGATGCTAATGTTTCGTTGAAATATGTAGTTTTCACACTGATAATTCTCTGAAAATTGTTTTAAATAACACGTATAAACACACACGAATAGACGACTGACATAATTTTTGTACGACTGACATAACTTTTATACGAACAATCGAGCACTGACATGACTTAAGTGCAAATAACTGACAACTATTGACTTTTGTATCGACACCTGACGACTTATATAATTTTTGTACGGCCTTCGAACGACTGACATAACTTTTATACGAACACCTGACCGCTGACATGACATTTGTGCAAACATCTGACAACTAATCTGACTTTTGTACTAATACCTGACAACTGACGTAATTTTTGTACGACCACTAGACGACCGACATAACTTTGAGGCAAACATCTGACAACATTTATGTCTTTTGTACAAACACCTGACGACAAATACGACTTTTGAACAAAAACTCGACGACTCACAAGACCGAACTCCATCATAAGTAAGTCCCACAAAGGATCAAAGGACTCAGGACTGCAGAACCAAATTCATTTTACAATAATATATAAAGTATAATAATATAATAATTTATTAATTTATATAAAAATAAATATAGAGATATATGTATATATAAATATATGTAAAGATAAAATAATCCCAAATCTTTTTAGGTTTCTCCCATCACTTCTTCGATTTTTTTCACATATCACATCAACACTGAGCAAGGGCCTCTTCTCACGCGGAAAGGTTTAAGCCTATTTGCTCTCTGTTCTACAAACGACAAGGTCCTGGTCTTTGAAAGACCATTTAATTTGCGGGGAAAAATCATGGTAAGTGCGATCATAAATTGTTTTTTTTTTTATTGTTTGGTGAATATAAGTCATGTCAGCTCATTGTCGTACCTGCTCTACACTTTGCAGGCACACTACTTTCTAGTTCAGATTTTACGATTTCATGGCAGCAAGCTGGTGAAAAGTAAGCGTTACATTAAAGGCCTGCCATTGCCATGCCATTAAAGGCGTCGAGGTGATATAGATCAACACTACCGAAAGGTTTATAGTTTAAATGACACATATTTTACAGATTTTGTATAGAAAATATGATAGAATTAAGGCTAGCGGGGGGAACAAACTATAATAAAAAATATATACACCTTTACCTTTGCTCTGTACATGTGACATAGTTAATATGACATTAAAATAACTAGTTACTAGTATTACATAATTAAAATATGTAGAAGTTGGGTTGTGAATGAAAGAAAAATCTGTATTATATTTTCTTATGTATGGCTCAGCCATTTATAATTAATTGCCCTCCTACTAATGTAATATACAATACAACAGTTTGTTGTTCAAATGTCAAAGAAAGGTAATAATAAATATTACATTCTTAATTATGCTTAGGTTACAATTGTATAAACCTACTATGTATACTAAAACTACTATTCCTATATTTATACATGTGTATATTCAAAATATTTATTCTAAGACCTTAAAGGACAGTCAATCACTTAGACAGTATGTAGAACAACACTTTCATTCTTGTCATTAGTTACTTCTGTACACTACAAACAAAATATTCATAGGTTTCCACTTTTATCAGTGTTACCATTTTCCATATTACTTTGCGCAGCCGTGGATACAACAGTATTGCTGTTTTTTCTATCATTTTTCTCATCATCACCTTCATCTTCTTCATCAATATCATCATCATCATCACCACCAGCAGCCAGTTCTTTCTCATCTATTTTCTCTGGAACATCTTCCGATGGTTCATATGAATGATTACTCATTTTCTCAAGCCACAAGGCCATGGAGTTGTTCTCTACTTCTCCCTTAACGATTACAGGGTATATGTGTTCATGCTTAAATTTTTGTATTTCTTCCTCTTCAGATGTCCAAGTTAAACTGTCATGGCTGTCTTTGAATTTGTTGTCATACCTGTCATAGTGGACCTAAAACATATAAAACGAAATAAGAATATTGATTCAAAGGTCTAATATTTTTAGCACATACAGAATTATGCTTATTTTAAATGCAAGATTTCTGTATAGAAGCTTACAAGAAAATATTTATCAAGATATGAAACAGAAATAACACTAGTGGCTGTTTCTTTTATATAATATAATTCCAGTTGTATAATCAATTTGAAGGTATAAAAATAATATAATTACGAATTTTTAGAAGGTACATACCGTATCGAGGACAAGTCCAAGCCCAGGAGCGGTTGGTATCATAACCTTTTCCTTGCCAAAAGCTTTCTCAAGAATGGAATTATCAGTATGACCGCGCAGCACAGCTATCGCCAGACCAACCATCTTACGAATTTGATGCAGCATAAAACTTTGACCCTAATACAACAATGTTACAAATCCTTAACACAAAACACATTTAGAACTCCTCTGGTATTGCGGGTGTCCATAGGGGGCCCGCGGCACTAATTGCTTACCATCAGGTGATCCGTCAGCTCGTTTGCTGGCCTAGTCCATTATAAAACACATGGAAATACTTGAAATTTCACTATTTGATGATATATTAACAATAAGAAAAAAACTTAATTCTTCTTTTGACTACTATAAATCTGAAGGTAATAAAATGACTTTTGATTAAAAATGTAATAATGAATATTGACATGACATACCTTTACTAACAGAACTGCAAATTCCATTTCTGAATCAACAAACACTCTGTCTAAAGTGAATCCCATCATGTACCTTAGCGATGAAGGATCTTGGTGATGCCTGGAAGAAATGTTTTATCAATGCTTCCATCCGATCAGTGAATAATATAAGTTTTTAAAATATAATGACAGGCTTTTGAAGAAACTACACACAACAAACGGCAAAAATCATCATCAAATAAAAAATAATATCAACATTTTTTAGAAGATTTAGAGTATATCTGACTTTAAAGAAAGAAAATAAAGAGTATTATTACTTACAAAAAAGAGTATCATTTATTTTGTGCTTAGGGATATATGGGTTGAAAAGGTATTTACAGTACTTTTTGCTATTTTTACTGATTTTTTAATCAGTCTAATTATTATTATACTAGGTTAGCTTATAGCTCGATAGGTACGTTATTGCACGACGTCTATACCAAATTTCATTCAATTTAATCCAGTACTCTTCACTCTGATCATGGGTTTTTGCTTATTACTACAGACTGGCAGTAGTTAAGTAAACATTGTGTATAAACGAGTATTTTAGTGCACCCATTAGTGTTATAGATTAGAGTATGCTTACATGATACAGAGGAGAATACTCTATTTTAGAGTATGTTTGGTAACCCTATCTGAAGGGGGCCCGATGGCATTTTGCCGATTTGCTACCCTGTATTTAAGCCCCTGGGTACAATTGTTGTATGTTTGCATTTCTTAGAATGACATAAGGCTACACTTACTTCTTTTCTGTAAAATTATGATAACTCTTTGTTCCTTTATAAACTTCTAGCACCTTTCCGACTTGTTCTTTTTTATCTTCTGATATTCTATATTGCTTTCTCTCCTCATCAGTTACTAAGCTAGGTTCAAATACATAAGTGGGAAGAGTGTAGCTATATGTTCTCGCATTACACTTTGATTTTGAGTTGAATTTGTTTGTCACTCTCTTTATACCAAATACTTTGATACAATCCGGCAGTCTTTTATTTATTTCATTGATATCTACTTCCAGAGCTGTGAACAAAAATTTAGTGTCAGTTATCATCATAATTATACCATAGCAAATAGCAATAAATAGCACCAATTGCTTAGTCAACTATGCAATATTGTTAACTAGCGACCCGCCCCGGCTTCGCACGGGTGCAATATGCATGTATTATACATACAAACCTTCCTTAAGAATCACTCTATCTATTAAAAAAAAACTGCATCAAAATCCGTTGCGTAGTTTTAAAGATCTAAGCATACATACGGACATACAGCGAAAGCGACTTTGTTTTATACTATGTATTGATGATGTCTTTATCCGTAAGAATTAACATATTCATCAAAAAAAATTAAAAAAAATAAACTATCAGCAAAAATATATAAAACAGTTGAAATACAAAGTTTTGTTCAGTTTGACGGTTCATGAATCTGCCATCACTACTCAACATTGGCAGTATAACATAAAATCACGCCTTTTATCCCCGAAGGGGTGGGCAGAGGTGCACATTACAGCACTTAATGCCACTGTACAATGTAGCACCCACTTTACACTATATTTGTTATAAGTCCCATGTAGTAGGGGGTGAGTCTATTGCCATATACCGGCCACATTCCTAGACTTCATGCTACTTCTAAGATGCAATGAGAAGAATACTAACGTAGTTTAAGTGACACAACCTGTCTGGCAGCAGATACACCCTTGTCCGTCCGAGAACTCCTTTGAAACTGTGTGTTCTGCTGATTATTGAAATCGTCTTCAGTTATATATTTAGCCTCCATTAATGCCTTCAATAAATCTTCCTCTATTGTTCGTACACCAGGATTACTGTTAATAAATTATATGATAAGAATACAAGATAATAACAATAACAAAACTTAACAATAAATGCCAAATATAGCTATAACTTGAAAACATCAGTTATCAATCTGATCTGAATGGTAATTTTGTAATATTGTAGGAGGTGGCATATAGTCCAACAGTAGACTCTAATGCTATTCAAAACTGAAATTTAAGTTTCAAAGTTGAATCTTACCGTTGCATACCATAGTAATCCACACCACAGTACCCCAAAACAAGTGCCATTTTCTTTCTTTTGATCCTTTCTACTGGTCTTTCACAATGTTTCTTCTCGTCTGATTCACCATTCTCAGTTTTATTTGGATCTGGATCCTGCCATTGTCGCTTCATGAATCGTTGTTTGAACCTTGTAAAATTTTTGTTTTGTACTATTTCTTGAGATTCTTTTTGATTATCATCTGCTACTTTTTCCACAGTAGCTACCTCCATGGCTGATATAGAGCGCACATGCGGCACTACAACAAACGAGGTCAGTAATAAAATGATGTCCTTTAAACATTAGAACAAATTAACAACCAGAATAAGTAACGTAACTTTTGAAAAGACACTATTTTTAATTTTATTGTCGTACTAAGTATTTTTTTGCCGTATTGTTGTTTGTTGTCCGTTTAACAAATGCGTAACTATTAGAAAGCCATGGCAATTATCTTCTATGTGGATTTTAATTACACGGTTATCTGAAGCAGGAGTAGGAGCACCTCTTCGATGTACCACTAACTAACTATACTGTACTCACCGGATGAACCCTGTACCGGTCACTAAATTAGGTTATTTAACAAAAAAAGTCACACGGTGAAAAGGTTAAAATGAAAGAGGAAACATTTAACACAAATCACATGGTAAGCAACAAAAATATAAACACGTACAAATTTTGTTTCGGTACAGTTTACTGCAGTAATATCCCATGTGTTTATGACATTTTGTTACAGACCTGATTTAATGGGATGTCTCGGCAGATTTTGTCTCAATGCATTTACAAATAATCTGTAAAATATTACGGACATACCTACGAACAAATATTTTATTGATAATCACAACTGAACACACAAAAACAGCAAAAAATGCTCAAATGGCACCAATTCTACGACCATAGCAAAATCACACAGACACGGGTAGCCATTTTAATTTAAATTTAATTTTTCCAGTCATAGACTATAAAATATATAGGTAGAAAGTAGTTCTAGTTTCCAGTCCTCCATCTATTCCACTGATATGATAAGAGTATGGATAAGAAACAACTAGGAAAAAATCGTGCCTACATAAACTTCACTTGGTCACCCGTAATGGCGGATAGAACTAGGGATGTAACTTTTAAAACTGTAGAAATATCGATATTTTAGAATTGGTTTTAATTGACTTATCAATAAAATATCATTATTTTATGATTCATCTGGATTTAATTTTTATGTAGCTGCTAAACATTACCAACATATTAGCGAAATATATTTAGTAGTTGCTGCGTGCACTCCAGTCGATCGTGCCTATACATTCACATCATAACTTTCACGATACTTATGTATCGAAATTCATGAAAAGGATTTTCCATCAGCTGGTCAATATTTATATACTTAAGGTTATGTAATTTTTGAGGGTTGAAAAATAAAACTGTATCAAAGTATTCATAAAATCAAGAATTATAATATACAATATCTTCGTATTTTTCATAGTGTTTCCCTGTAATGTAATCTGCAAAACCATCTTTCGAGAAGACTCCAGAACTGGTTCCAAGTTCATTTTCATGCACATATCTGGCTAGAGGCTGCAACATAAATAGTATAATTTAACTTACTTGATCCAATGGAACATAGATTTTTCTATAGATTCTATAGGTACTGTAC